GCAGCACCTCCTAGGACATGTTTTTTGACCCATACCAGGTGGTCATGATCCAGAACACGACCTGGGTAAAGAGGCCTGAGCCCCTACCACACACTCCTGTGTCTTCCTTTCATTGATGTGCATCCCCAAGGCCTCTCCCCATGAGTGGCTTTGGAACAGAACCACACCATGAAGATCCATTCCCCATGCATTTGGCTTCCAAGGATGCCAAAGCACCCCTCAGTAATCCCAAGACAGCCTGATCAGGAGTTTATTGGACTCCTAAAGAGAAGAGGAAGTGCAGCTACAGGAGGTCAGGCTGCTGTGCAGGCTGGAGGAGCAGAGCCCTCCCTCAGCTGTTCCAGGTGAGCAGGCTCCATTCCCCCAAGGCAGGTGTGCAAAGCTGGGCTGTGCCAGGAGGGCAGCAGGGGGAGGATGCAGTGAGAGCCCCAAATCCTTGTGGTGTTCCCTCTGAGCCCCTGAGCACCACTGCAGGTTTTCAGTCACTCACAGCCAGACTACAGTCTCAGGAGCCTGGTGGTCATACCAATGCCTCCTGGAGCCTGAGCAACAACTTTGTTTGGGTCAGGACTCCCACCCCCCTCAAAGGAAAAGCTGTTCCCAACAAAAACATGGCACTGAGGAGGTTTGGAGCACCTCCTGGCCAGGTGGGGTGTCCAGATGTGAGCCAGTGTCCTGACAGAGGCAGCAGCCAGGCTGGATGAGTGGCTAGCTGGGAGCAAGCCCAGCTCTGAAGAGAGCACCAGGGCAGCAGGGAGTCAGCTCAGCCCCCAGGCAGACCCCCCAGTTGGGCACGTGGGTCACAGGGTGACAGATGCAAAGGGGGATGCAGGCAGAGCATCAGTCAGGGCTGGATTAGCAAGGTCAGTGAAGGTCAGAGCAGAGGGGCCCAGGATCCCCAGGGCATACCAAGGTTAAGCACTTCCGTGCTGCACAGCCAGCCCTTCCAGTTATCACAGCGTTTTCAGATTTGGGGGAAAGCCCTAAACCCTCTGAAGTAAATTCACCTTACAAAATCCAGGGGCGAGGGATTCCCACCAGCTTCAGAGCCAGACTTCACACCAAGAGTTTTTAAAAAGACAGCCTTTCAGCCAGCAGAGAGTGTTCTGTGGTTTAAAAAGAAAAGTGCAATTCAAATGAAGGCTGCTGGGCAATCCCCTGCTTCAACACACACTCCTCCAAACCCATAGCTTTACATAGCAAAATAAGCCTGGAGGCAAGGTGAGGCAAGCCAGGCTTAATTTATTTTTTTTTCCTCAAGGAGAAAAGGACAGTGAAGGCACCTGATACCTCCTATAATTAGAGACAGTTCTTTATCCCTAATGCCACTGCCAGACCACCTATATCCAATTTGGAAACCAGAAGTATAACCCAGCTTCATTAAATAATCCATCTGGTCCTCCCCTGTTAATTTCCCTACTATTTTTCCACTTTAATGAGCCCAGCTGGGTCAAACTGTGAGCAGTTACTCCTGAGCAGGGATCAGCCATCCCTCCATTCCACCCCCAAGGAATCTGGTGCACTGAGGGGTCCAAAAACTCTCCAAGTATCAGTTTTCCCAAACAACCTCCTTCCAACCGTGGGTATACTTAGCAACAGCAGTCATTTCAGCAGAGACCCTTGAGACTCCTCCAAGGATCTGGAGAATTCAAGACAGCTGGGGATGGTGGTGGCAAGGAAAAGCCTGGGGCTTGCTGGCACAGCAGAGCCTCTCCCCAGGCAGTGACCATACATGGGCTGCCTGCCCTGCAGCTCACGGGGAGGGAAGCCCCAGGAGGGCAGAGACGGGGGAATTTGGGAAAAGCCAAGTCCAATCTGCCTCCCAGGTGCAGATATCCTGCAGGGCACAGCCCAGGGGACGTGCCCGGCCATGGGTGTAGGAACTGAGGGCAGGAGTTACCTGAAGCCTCTGTAGAGAGCTCTGAGTAACAGACCCTGTGCATACTGGGCTCCCAAGCCCTCCCCATCAAGGCAGCCGTCTCTCCAGAGCTCCCCCCAGCTTCTCACTTGTTTGGGAAGGCTCACACCGCAGCAGTTCCTCACGCAGCAATTCCAGTTCATGGAAGAGAGCATAACACCAGCCTGGTTTAAGCAGAGCTACACCAGCATCAGCAGGACTTGGCCAGTATGTCTCAATTTGTATGAGGAAACAGAGTAGGCTGTGTTCAAATTAATATTTTTGGGACATTTTCTAATGCATGCTCCTATATACACTGGGCACAGTTAAACAGACAATGAACATTGTCTACAGAAACACAGCACCAATATTTTTCTCCTGACATCTCCCATTGTGCATTACACCCAGGAGCCTTGGGATTTGCTTTCCTGGCAGCTCCATCACAAGATTGGTTGCTCTGACACCCATCATGATTTAGGCTGTCCTTAGAGCCTTGTCCTGCCTCCATCCATCCATGAGTCAGCTTGAAAAGAGCTTTTTCATCAAGGAGAGGAGATCAGGGAGATAAGCTAGCCACAGGGTGAGAAAAGGTAGACCCAAACAGCAAATAAACACTTCCTTCCTCCATTTTGGGAGTAGAAATCACCAGAGTCTAGCAAGTGTTTAAACAGTACAAGGAAAAGCAGGAGAAGTTTAGAGGTGCACATGAAATTATAATACAAATTGTAAGGGAAAATAATTCTTCACTTTTTTGAAACAAAGAGGAACTCATTTCTGCTCACTATTTTTGCCATCAATTTTCATATTTCATTAAGATTCTAAAACACAGCTAGAGAGGAAAGGATGTGCCACCCTGCTGTCAGCGTTCACACTCTTTTTAAACAAGGCTGTGAGGGTCTGCGTGCCACAGAACAGACTCCCCCAAACAGCCTTTTATTTAGCTGAAGCTCCAGCAGGAAACAGAAAAGGGAACAAGCTGAGCCAGCCCCACCAGCAGACCCCGGTGGTGGCCCTGCATGCACCAGAGCAGCTGCACTCACTGGAGCAGGAGGGGAGCAGGGAGGTTTGCTTGCCTTGGGCCACGCACAGCACCTGCTCCTTGCTGCTGCAAGGTGAGCTGAGCCCGGCAGGAACAGGGCTGGGAATCGCATCCATCCCGGTGCTGAGGAAACCCCTGTGCCCCCCCAGCAGCCAAGGCTTCCCCTTTGTTTCAGCAGCCACTCTGTACAGAGCCTTCCAGCACCTTTTGAAGCTTCCAGTCAAATCTTCAGCCCAGGCTAATTGCTGTCAGGTGTCAGCAGAAGCACTTACTGCAGCCACTGATGACAGCAGATGACACACCTTTCTCCTCTCATTGTCACTCAAGGGGTTTTTTTTCCCATCAACATTAGCTGTGCCAGCTCTCAGAAGCCTTGGGGAGAAATGCTAATGTGAGCTTTGAAGCTGGAGGTGAAAAATCAGGCAACCTCCTAAGCTCCCTGGATGCTCAGCCTGAATCCAGTCCAAATCTGAGCACTTCTGGGTGATGCACTTTGGCCAAGCTTATCTATCTGCAGATGTGGTCTTCTTTTAGCCCTCATGGAAAGTTCTCTGTATTCAAGTGAAGAGACCCCAAATTTTACAGTCTCTGCTGATAAGGCAATAAAGCAGAGCAGAGGCACAGGGAGATAGATAATTTTACAGCAGCCAGCCTGGAACATTGCCAGGTTAATTCGGCTGGAGACGTGAGGGATGCAGCAAGAACTCAGATGTGCCCAGCAAGGAGAGAAGGCAGCTGATCTCCACATTAGAGAGGTCTTAGAGATGGAGCTGATTTCAGCAGCAGAGCAGCTCCAGGTCATTGAGCTTTCCTGCTTCTGGAGCTGGGGTTCCCACTCCATCAACCCCTTCCCAAGGGCTTTGAAGTTGAAAGGGGGTGAGACCTTTAGGAAATCTAAGTCCCATCCTAGCTGGAGAAACTTGTCAAAAGCCTGATGGAACCTCTGACCTATTCCAGCCTCATGGATCATCATTGTCCTGGCTGCACATCCTCCTTTCCCTCCATGCCCCCCCAGCTTCCCAGCTTCCCAGCATCCTGGGACTGGAAGGCAGCCGTGGCGTCCCCAAGCCTCACCTCTCGTTCTCCTCAGGGGATTCATCTCCCACTTGGGTCACTCCTTCTGCACCCTCCTGGCACCCCTCCGAGTCTGACATCTTCTCCCCTGGTTGGCACAGCACCCCACAGACAGCTCCAGCACCAGAGTGCTGCCACTGTTTCGCTTTCCTGTGCTCAGCAGAAGTGAGCTGTGCCGGAAACTTCATGGGCTGAGGCTTTGGGGGGATGGGAGAGGGCAGAAGGAAGGTGATTTTGGGGCTTTGTTCTGTTCTCTTTCAAAAACCACTGAGACTGATTTAAGATTTTACTTGTCGGCAGCTAAAAATTTGGAAGTCCTGGGCTAACCCAAAAGAAAAGTGAGCAGCATGGACATCCCCACCTTGGCAGGGAAAGGAGTGACCCACTGTCCCCCCCAGCTCCCCATGCCACTCTGGTGACAGCCATCATGTCTAAACCACAGCACCCTGCCCTGTACCAGCCCCAGGGTGCTGCTGCAGGTGCTGCCAAGGCTCTCCTGACTTTGCACCTCTCAAATCCCACCAGAGCCAAAGGGTCTGCTTCTGCCCTGCAGATCACCCCTCTCCCCCTTCTCAGCTCTTCCCCACAGCTTCCTGCTGATGCCATCATGCGCTGAGGTTCTGCAACACCTCCTGGGGTGTTTCTTTGTCTCTTCGCCATTGGGGAAGGGCATGAGCATCTGCAGCTTTGGACAGGGACCAACAGCAGAGAGGTCCCCCACGTCCTCAGCACAGCCCCTGCCAAAGCCTCCCCATTCCACCAGGACTGCCACACTGAAGCAGTCCCTGCTGGTACCATGGCATGAATCAGGGTCTGGCCACCCAGGCAGGCAACACCCACCTCTCCCACCGAAGCTTTATTTACATCACTGCTGCCATGATGCAGCTCTTTGCAAAACTAGAGAGAAATGGGCACCCAGTCAGTGCCCCTGAGCCCGGCAGGGCAGTGGGGACAGCAGGGAGAGGAGGACAGCTGTGGAGACACAGGTGCTTAAGACTCGCCAGCCTCAAACATCTTCTTTCTGCCCTCCATGCCAGACTTCTCCTCAATGTTCTTCCTCCAGTCACCGACATCACGCAGATCCTTCTCCTGGGGGCGGGATGGTTGTGTTGGTGTGAATGGTGCCATGGTAAAAACCCACCCAGCCCCAGCCCCACACCAGCCCACCCATGGAAACCCCCATGTCAGCTAGAGGAGCCCAGTTCCACCCATGCTACACATCTTTTTAAACTGCACCCTCCTGTTTCAACATCATGGGTGCCAGAGAAGGAAACACTGAGCAGGAAGAAGAGCATTATAGAGAAAGAGTCATTCTCAACCCTGTCTGTCTTACAGGGAGGTGTGAGCCCTGAAGGGTGGGGGCAACTCCTGTTAGGGAAGAAAGGGAGAGGGAAGGCTACCTTCTCAGTGTCCTCCTTCTTCACTTGCTTCAGGTTGGCCCGGAGGTCCATGCAGACCTTGTGCTTGGAGCCCAGCAGGGCGCGCAGCATGGCGTCAGCCGACATGCGCACCCGGCGCAGCGGCGGCCGCTTGAACTTGCCACGCAGGTCAAAGAGCTTCTGGCTCAGGTCTTCCAGCTGGGGGGGATGAAATGAGGAGGGGTAGAGAGAGAGGGGGGTATGGGTTTAATGAGATGGACCCAAGCAGTGCAGGGAGGCATGAGGAATGGGCTGCAGACTCCCCAGAAGGATGGCTCCAGAGGAAACTCACCTCCTTTGTAGTCTTCTGTAGCTTCACCTCTGTGTCATACCTCTCCTCATCCACTGACTCTATCTTGGCATGAAGCTTTTTGCACAGCTCCTGGGAGGAAAGCAAAGAGGGATGTTGACTGCTAGGACCCACACATGATTCCTGTCTCCTGACCACTCTGGCTCTGAAAGCCCTCAGTCCGGAAGGCTAGAGGGGATTGAGGTGAAGAGGGGCTTGTCAGCCAGCTCCTAATCTCCATGCTACTGGCTGCACACCAATGCTGTCTCAACAAATCATTTAAAACACATCTTTCCTGCCAGCCAGACCCCTTTTGTTTGCAGAGAGACACCACCTGCCTCTCAAGCCAGCTGCATGTTCATCTGGCTCCAGGGTAACAGGGGGTGAGGAGAGGATCAAGATGGGAAGGCCAGTCTAGATCCACCAGGCTGACTGATGGAGTCAAATGTTTTCTGCTCCAGCGCTGAAAGGGTTAAAGAAGCCTGTACCTGCAGTTCCTGCATGGATCCAGGGAGTGACAGAGGAGGGCAATGTTCTGCCAGGTAGTTTTGCTTCTCCACTTCTTTAGCAGCTGCTTCCTTTTCTATTTCAGTGACAGCAAGCTGGAGCATAGCACTCTGGAAGGCAGCAGAGAAGCGTCAGTGCAGGGTGGAAGCAAGGAAGGAGGGTAGGGGGTCATCAGGGGAGTGGGAGTCCTGATGGAGAGGGGAGTTCCCATAAATACCACCATTTCCAAGCAAGGGATAAGGTGGAGACCCAGTGAGGAGTGGGGTGGGAGGCCTCTATGCTGTACATCATGGCCTCTTCTAGGAGTGCCAGTGCTGAGAGCTGCTGGCTTGGGATGGGAGGCGGAAGGTTGGGACACACATCCCACAGCCACAGCAGTGCCACCCACGTACCTTCAGGTGCTGCCGACGGGCAGTGGCTGCCCTCCTCTTTTTCTGCAAGTGGAAGAAAAGACAAGAGAAAGGAAGGTTATCAGGTGCCCATTCCCCTTTCCATTGCCCTTCCCCATGCAATGCCACACTCCACCAGGGACCTGCAGCCCTGCCAGGGAGATAGATCCATCTTGACACACAGTTTGTCCCCACACCAGCAGCACTCCAGGAAGAGGCTCCCTGCTGAACCCAGCTTTGCCAACCTCAGGTAGCTAAACACACAAAGTCCCAGAGAAAGAGATAACAAGGGTGATGAACTTGGAAATATATGTATAAAATATGGCTTCCAACTTGGCTTCTTGGGACTTTTAGCCTTTTCTCTAATTTCCTCTTCACTCAGATGTGTTTTACTTTGTGCTCAAGCTAATGACTCCCATGTTCCTGGGCACTCAGGAGCTGTGGCATGTCTTTCTGAGCAGTCCAGGGCACATGTCCTTCTGACCCTCTGGTGACAAGGACAGCCAGGCAGGTGAAAACATGAAGGCTGTGTAATTTCCTGGAGCTGGAAAGACCAAGAGATGCTGAAGCAGAGGTTCATCACAGATGGAGGACAGACCCAACCATAGACTGCCCTTCTGTCCTTGCCATGCTGGACCAGCAGCCACAGGACTCCAATTTACAATAAAACCCCACAACTTCTGCATTTCAGCTGTTTCCTGAGCATTTCACCCAGAAGACAGGGCATGGCTGAGTTGGGCCGGCCCAGGGGAAACACATCTGATATGCTGAGGGGTGGGGAGGAGAAAGCAGCACTTGGGTGTGGGTCTGTGCTGCTGAGAGGAGGATGTGGATGAGGATGTGCAGAGTGAAATGTAACAAAACCTGACATGTCTCACATATGTAAATGGTGTCAAGGCCCTCCTGACAGGGCTGGAGGGCTCTGCAGATAAAAGGCACCCAGCTCAGAGATGCAGCACACTGTTAACCATCAGATAATCAGATCCCTTGAGGACTGTTAGTCCAGGGCTTATTGTCCATCTGAAAACTGGTACCTCAGCAAAGATTGCCCTCCCAGCCTTTTCTGGGAGGTCTGGGTTTGATGGGGAGCAAAAGAACATGTTGGATATCAGCACCATTTTGTGGCATTTCTGTGTGTCCCTGACATCCTCTTTTCTCTCAGTGAGAACAAGCTGGAGATTGTGGTGTTGCAGACATATGGGGAGATGCCAAGCAGAAATGAAGGATGGAGCAATTTGCTAAGAGGAAATGTGGAGTGACAAAGCCACAAACAATCCTCCCACATCTTCCCCTGCATTTCTCCAGACACCCCCAGCCCCACCTGGCTTTGCCAGAAGCCAGGGAAAATTTGCTAAAAATGAAACTTCCACCCTGCTCCAACTCTCCAGGATCCAGGTCTCCTTGAACTGCCTTTGGGAAGGGATTTGTCAGTGCTCAGTGGGTAGAAAAGGAAGGGCTGGATGTGGGGAAGGAGGAGAGGATGCCAGGCCATGGGCGGGATGGTGGAGGGATGATGGAGGAGAGGCGGCTCTGGACCACTGCCTTCCCAGCACCATCTCGTGGCCGGCTGGGGAAGCAGGAATGGAGGGAAAAAGCATCCAACTCCAAGCCAGGGGACAAAAAAAAGTCTTTCAAAAGGGATTCTTCTTCTCCTTCAGGTGTTTACCAGGAGGAGTCAGCAAGAAAATAACCATGAGCCTTTCTTCCCACACACACACTCTGCAGCTGATTTTCCTGGGGAGGAACGGTGAAGCCAGGACTGCTGCTATAAGCATTGCCAAAGGAAAACCCCAGCAAAACACACTCACCTCTTCACTGTTCAGGAAAAGCAGATGGACAAGGAAAGGAAGGAAGAGAAAGGGGAAAGAGGAAAAAAAGACAGTTAATTAGCATCCTAACTGGAAACAAGCAGAAGAATCTTAACAAGCATAAAAGTTGGTGATTGAACAAAAGTTTTTAAAATGCCAACAGTGTATTAGAGACAGAAAAATGGGAACTTACTCAGACATCTTGGTTTAGGTGGTTGTGAGCCTGAAATGAAAACCAAACCAGGAGAAAAAGTTTACAATTATTCATGCTTGCAGTCACCTTTTTGTGAATTTTAAACCCACTTGGTTGTTGGTTTTTTTTTTTTTGTGGGTTTAAAAACAAAGCAAGACTCCTCTAGAAAATAAAAAGAGGAACAGGTCTGTTCTTATTTCCCAACTTCACAAATTTTTCATCATATAGGGAACTAGACTGCAATTTGTAGACGAGAGGCAAACATCTCCTCATAGCAACACAAACCACAGCATCAAGGGACTTCTGGAAAAGATGAAATGGGGTTGAGCCAGAAAAACAGAGATTTGTGGCAGTGATTCCTGCAGGTATGTTTCATGTCTGACCCCCACAAAACCATTTCATTCAATGAGGGAAGAAAAGGCAAAGAGTATTTTCAGTTTGCTGCTTTACTTTGCCATTCCACCTTAATTCACATCATAAACAAGAAATATCACAAAGCCTGCAAAGGGCTGGCAATGACCCCAGGTGACAAGGAAGGACTTCAGAGGATGCTCTGCCAGTGTGTGCACTCATTCTGTGGGACAGGGGAACCTGTTGCAGCAACCTCAGCACAGCTGGAAGTTGTGTTGAGTAGATACAAGCACAAAAAATTCCCTAGGCAATCCTTTGCATTTGCTTTAAATGGAAATTTTACACATACAACACAGTGTATTAGGGAAAAGATGGAAGAGCACCTTTGGTTTGCTATAAATGATTTTGACATAAATAGAATATTACTTTTCTATCAGAGCCATATCTACGTGCATCTCCTAGGCCTGTCCTTTGCAGGGCAGACAAGGCCCCCAAACGCAGCCTGGGCGGCTCAGTCAGGAGGGGAAGTGTTAATGGGGGCTCATGCCCGAGGCAGGAGGCACAGCTTGCAGGGCCAAGGAAACTTTATCCTGGAAAATGTGCGGGCCCATCACATTACTTCAGAGAGGGGGGGAGGGGGGGGAAGTGCTTCTAAAAATGGCCAGGGAGCCGCAGAAGGAGCTGCAGCTGTCTCCTGGGACGGCCGCCGTGCCGCGGTGCCAGCCCCGTGACTCGGGAGGCGGCGGCGGCGCGGAGCGGGAGCCGCAGGTGGCGGGGCTGCGGCTGGGGCGGCCCGGGAGCGGGGCTGTGTTAGCTGGCATCCATCCCTGCCTGTCCCGCACACACAGGAACGGGGGCTGTGTTAGCTGGCATCCATCCCTGCCTGTCCCGCACACACAGGAGCGGGGGCTGTGTTAGCTGGCATCCATCCCTGCCCCGCACACACAGGAACGGGGGCTGTGTTAGCTGGCATCCATCCCTGCCTGTCCCGCACACACAGGAACGGGGGCTGTGTTAGCTGGCATCCATCCCTGCCTGTCCCGCACACACAGGAACGGGGGCTGTGTTAGCTGGCATCCATCCCTGCCTGTCCCGCACACACAGGAACGGGGGCTGTGTTAGCTGGCATCCATCCCTGCCTGTCCCGCACACACAGGAGCGGGGGCTGTGTTAGCTGGCATCCATCCCTGCCTGTCCCGCACACACACAGGAACGGGGGCTGTGTTAGCTGGCATCCATCCCTGCCTGTCCCGCACACACAGGAACGGGGGCTGTGTTAGCTGGCATCCATCCCTGTCCCGCACACACACAGGAACGGGGGCTGTGTTAGCTGGCATCCATCCCTGCCTGCCCCGCACACACACAGGAACGGGGGCTGTGTTAGCTGGCATCCATCCCTGCCTGTCCCGCACACACAGGAACGGGGGCTGTGTTAGCTGGCATCCATCCCTGCCTGTCCCGCACACACAGGAACGGGGGCTGTGTTAGCTGGCATCCATCCCTGCCTGTCCCGCACACACAGGAACGGGGGCTGTGTTAGCTGGCATCCATCCCTGCCTGTCCCGCACACACAGGAACGGGGGCTGTGTTAGCTGGCATCCATCCCTGCCTGTCCCGCACACACACAGGAACGGGGGCTGTGTTAGCTGGCATCCATCCCTGCCTGTCCCGCACACACACAGGAACGGGGGCTGTGTTAGCTGGCATCCATCCCTGTCCCGCACACACACAGGAACGGGGGCTGTGTTAGCTGGAATCCCTGCCTACCCCGCACATACAGGAACGCGGGGTGTGCTCGCTGACACCCATCCCTGCCCCGCACACACACAGGAACGCTGACACCCATCCCTGCCTGCCCCGCACACACAGGAACGCGGGCTGTGTTTTCTGACACCCATCCCTGCCTGCCCCGCACACGCTCCCGCTCCGGCCACAGCGACACCAGGGAGCCCAGGGGACAGCGCTAGGCTGCAGCTCACTGCCCACGAAATGGGCTTTGAATCACCTGCTCTGCATAAATTTGGATGTGGGTGCCTGTCCGAGGGTGTTTTTGGGCAGGAAGGCACTGCAAGGGCCGGGTAGGGAGCGGGAGGAAGGGGTGTGAGTAGCGAGCACAGCCGAGTCACAGCAGGCAAGGATCCTGAATCCTATGGCCCCGCGGAGGTCAGCGCTAGGCTCCACTTGCCCTCGCCAATCAAGCCGAGAGCACCGGCCAAGGCAAGGGAAAGCATGAAATCAGAAAGAGAAAAGCTCACTGGAAGAGACAGAGCAAACCTTTCCAATGCACAGACCCTCTCCAATAAGCAAAGGATGGAGAAAGCGTTATTTGCACTCCTGTTTCTCCCACAGGCCACCCCCACCTGGTATTTATCTCCTTAATACTCGGGTAAGTAAATCTGCTCCCCCATCACTCCCTAAGAGCAAGCTGGGTCGTTAGGAGGTACGCAGAAAGGCTCACCCAAGTCTGGAGGAAATCAGAGTCGTGCAGGCTGGACGGGATGGACAGATGAGCCGCAGGCAGCTGCCTCAGTAAGGAGGTATAAAAGGGCTTCTCGGGTGGCTCAGCAGAAAATCCACCTTCTCTTTAAGGGCATGGAGACCTTCTCAGACCAATGATGTGCAAGAGTCCGCCGTGCACCTCCCTTGGCTGGGGCAGGCCAGGCCAGCAGGAGAACAGGAGAGGGCAGCCCCCAGGGAAGGAGGGGTGGGGAGGAGGAGGAGGAGAACATCTTCTACCCGTGGGATCCAGAGGAGCTGGGGAAGTGTTTTTGCTCAGAAGTGCCAAGTAGGGAGCCTTCCTCTCCCTTCTCCTGCCACCAACCAGTCAAAATAGATATGGCTTCAACTCTGTGGGATGCCCAGGCTCCCTGCGCACAGCCATCCATCTGCAAGGCCTCTAATTAAAATTTCCCCTTGGGTACACAGTGGCTTATCCATGGACAAGGGCTTGGCTCAATTTGCCTTCAAGGGCTTGGGAGCAACTCTGCCCTTCAGGAAGGAAGGCAGGAAAGAGCTTGCACCCCAAATATCCACTGCCGACAGCATAGGCAAGAGCAATCCCTTAATAAGCCATCCAGCACTAGCACGCTTTTTAAACCTCAGTTATTTCCCTCACACAGTAAATACCTGTAGCTCTTCCCTGTGTGAAATATTTCAACACAATTCAGGTTTTTTTTAAAAAAAACAAGCTGTGGATCTGCTGCAGGCAGCCTCAAGCCTCAAATCCAGCTGGGGGCTGGGCAGAGGCAGCAATGCATGGGGGAGCAGCCCCATGCTGACAGCAAGAAGGGTAATCCCCTCTGTGGGATGACCCAGACCCATATCTCCATGGATCTGAAGGAGAAGCAGGTGGAAACATGGCTGGAAATATTCCTCAGCCCTTGTCACAGCATATGTAGAGCGTGTGTGTAGGGGATCCCATGGAGACAGGGACCCAAACAGCTCCTGCTCTCCTCCCCCAGGCCAGGCGCTCCCTCCTCTTCCAGCCGGGCTTTTTAGGCTGATTCAGACATGGCTCTGACAATATTTTGCAGGCGCCTCCCAGACACTATAGAGATAGTGGCAAATCCCTTGCTGCAGGCTTCCTGTTTCACCAAGCTCAGCGCCACACAAGGGGTGCTGCAGGTGCTATTGGAGGATGAGCAAGTCCTTGGTATGGAGCTGATGTCTCTCAGGGATTTGCCTGGAAAAGCCCCTATCATGGGCAAGGCTGGGCCTGCTTGGACCCACATATCCCACTTGGGGTATGTCCCTTGGAAATGCTGCAGCTACACATTCTGGCCTCTGCTGGCCCATCAGTCCTCCAGAGAGCAACTCAGCTCTTGGTGGAGGAATCAAAACCGGGGGAGTTCTCCACTAAAAATTCCCCACAGACAGGGAGTTTCTTCAGCTCTGTGAGAGGAAGGCATCCTGGACCTCCTGGAGTCCAGGCATGCAGCACAGCAAAAGAGATCTGCTCAGAATTCCAAGGGTGTGGTTATCACCTTGTGACAGGAAAGTGTTGGCCTGATATAGTGGAAGAATGAAGTTCAAAGAAAGAATCCCATGACCAAACTACTGGCCAACAGGAGTGTTTGTAGGATACAGGAGTGGATGGTGAGGTGTGGTAATAGCATGAGCAGAAGGTCGAGTCTGCAAGCCTGCAGAAGGCTTTCCATGGAGCTGCCTTGCACAGGGGTTAAGCTGGAAGGCAGCTCTCCCAGAAAAAGAAAGAAGCAGCAGACTTAAATGGCATGAGGAAGAAACCCAGTGAGGAGACGGAAGAACAGAAAAACAAAGTTTGAAGCCATAGTTAACATTAGGAAAGACAGAAGTTTCCAAAGGAATTATATAAGTGTTTGAGTGATGAAAGAACAAGTTTCTTGCAGAAAAGCTCAATGAAGGCATAAGGAAACTCCAGGCACATCCTTCAAAGAGGTGTTTGCCTCTGAATATTAGGTATTAGTGAGGTAATTAGGCAGGGGCCAGGAATGGATGCACTGTTCATACTTGGGCACTTTCCTATGGAGCATCTGACATTGCTCCTTTCTCTCATTTCCCCCACCTGAGCTAGAGGAATGCACCAGGGGTGTGGGCCACTGTTCCCAGGACACTTCCACCATCCTGGGAGGTCAGACAGAGGGAACACCTGTCACACACAGGAGATTCTCCACAATGTTTTAGAGACTCAGGTGCAGCTTTCTTGGGCCAGGCTCCTCCACAGAATCACCACATGTTGGAAGGATGAGGCTGGTGAATCCATGCAAGATGCTCCTCATGACATTCTCCTACACTTTACACCTTGCCTCCTCTTCAGCATCCCACAAGGATCAAGTGGAAAGGCACTATGACACCCGATGATGCTATGCCTTATTTCCAAGGATGACACTGTTAGCAAAACACAAGCATGCTACTCAGCACCAGTGGTGATCACAGTAAAAGTTCAGGCAAGATCACTGGGGAAACCTGTATTTGGCTGCCCTTTGCTTTCCCAAGATCACATTGCACCAAAGCAAAGCACATGGCTCCCATCCTGCCCAGGACATACCCACTCCCCTGCACTGTGTCCCTAAAAGAGCTCCCCATTTCTCTGCTCCTGCTGACACCAACACCCAGGAACTCTACCATCACTTTCACATCTTTGTGCCAGTGCTGTCCTACATCCCACAGCTGCAGTCACCTCATTTGCCCATGAAATGGGATTAAGGTTTTTGGCTTTTCCTGTACAGGACAGCTGCCAACCAACACAGCCACCCTGACTGTTTAGCTCCATGCTGTCTTCCTTGACAGGGAGTGCTTCAGGCACATGATGTTGATGCCCTTAGGCTCCAAACCCACCAGCAGGTCCTGATGACACTCCTCATGTTCAGCAGATACACCACAAACTCATAAGCTGACAGCTGCTTCATGCTGTGTTTGACCATCAGCTACACAATGATGCACACAGGACCCTGGGAGAAGCCATCCCAGCAGTGGATGAGGACACAATTCCCTTTTTCCAGTGAGACTTTGATGTCCCACAACCAGGGCTGCCCCATTCCATGACAGTGCCCATGGAGCAGAGCCCAGATGCCAGCCCTGAGGTGTGAACAGAGCCCTCTCTGTGGCAGAGGCAGGGGATGGCAGCCAGGCTGCCATCGCTGGGCAGGCAGCTCATGTCAGGGAAGCTGTCACTGCTGAAGCTGTCAGTGCTGAAGCTGTCAGTGCTGTTCAGGCACAGCCCTGCCCACTGTTGATGTGCCCCAGGTGGCTGCAGGCAGTTACCTGAGTGATGATGGGTCCTGTGAAGGGGCAACACACAGGTTTCTGAAAAGTGAGTTCCTTGGGATGCGGCTTTTTCTTGTTCCTCATGAGGGATTTCTTGGAGCTGGCATGTGGTACAGGGGGCTGAAATGGGGCTCACAACAGCAGCAAAAAGAGGGACAAGTGAAAGGAGAGCTTGGCCTTGAAGGGAAGTCTGCTGGAGAAGGCAGGCGAGGAGCAGGGGTGGGACTGGATCTGTGGGCCTGCATTAGGGACCCCATGTTGTGGACTGGCCCTCTGCTCTCAGCCTCTTCCATCTGCCAAACAGTATTAAAAAAAGGACTGGTGAGACCACAAAAACTCATCTCTTCAGCTGCACGAGCAAGGAGACATGCAGACCAATCTTGCTGGAGCAGCCATTTCCTCCTGCTGAGGGTGCTAAGAAGAGTGACCAGGGTATCTTGCCACGTTGCAGGACTGTGAACACCACATCCCCACCCTTCTCTTCATTCACTTCACTTTTATACTCACCAGCTTTGGACAAGTGCCTGTAGGAACAGAACAACTCCTTATGGACACACATAAGTACTCACACATGGCTGCTTTCAATATAAACACTGGCCTTGAAGAGAAACAAGGCATTTTAATGATCCCTTCCACTCCAAAGGCACACTCTTTGGTGTGGGCTTCCAGAAGAGTTTGCAGCTCACTGCAAGCTGGAGCCTGGAGGAAGGGCAGCATTTCAAAATGAAAAGACAAAAGGGTGAAGAGAGGCTTGAGGGAGAGGGCCAAAACCAGAAAACTCTTCTGGATGGAGTCCCTTCTGACCATGGTGGCACACAGGGGCTTCAGTCTCCAGTGATGGAGAGTCTGTGTTCATAGCCAGGCTTAGGATCACTCAGTTCCAGCATAGCCCTGGGCACAAACCTCATTTCTCTGAGGAACTTTTCTTACTTCTGCCTTGGACTCTTCCACAGTGTGGCCCTTCCTCCATGACCCCAGGCTGAGTTGGCAGCCCCCTGGAAAGTGAACACCTCTGACAGGCACTGGTCCGTGCCCAGGCCTTCAGCATTTAATGTGTACAGGAGGTGATCCCTCTGGAATTTCCACCCAGCTTGCCCCTGGATAGTGTTACCCAAGTGACCCAACACCTGATCACAATCCTTCATATGTATGCACATCCTCAAAGCCTGGTTAAGACCAGGGTATGACCCAGAACGTGTCTGGAGGACAAGCTGAGACCTCTGTGTGCTCAAATTATGAAACATGTCTTTGCTCTCAAAGGTCTTCCAGGCTCTCTGTGCCAAGACAAAGCAGCAGCAAGAACATGGTGATAGTTTAAAAAAAAAGGCCACAGAGCTCAAGAAAAACTGTTCAATCACAAAGCTCTTCTCTCCCCAAGGTCAGCAACTGATCTACAAACCAGTAGCCATGGAAGGAATGATTCCCCAGAATTTATCCATTCCAAGCACACTGGCTTTTTGTAAATGCTGTGTGACCCCAGACACCTCATTTTACAAAAATAACAGCTGTCAGCTGCAAAGACCCTTGGTAGCCTCACCTACCTGCACACATGGAGAAAGCCTTGGGAGAACACAGCTGCAAGGAGATGGGCCTCTGGAAGCTCTTCTGGAGGTGCTTCTCATTCAGGTTTGGCAATGGAGGGGATGAGCTCAGAGTAGGAGAGGGCTGCACCAGGAAAACTCAAAACTCAACCTCACTGAGCATCTCTCAAGAACATCCCCAAAGCCAATTAATTCAGAGTATCTGGGACATGAATGTTCTTTTATGAAGGCAGACCTGAGTTTAGCACATGTGCAAAAGTTGGGTGTGGTGTGGGATGAGTGCATCCAAAGCAGAGAAACCTCAGCAGAGACCTTTGGAGGTATGAACACATCCTATGTCACATCCAGAGTGAACACCAAAGCCAAGTGTTTTAACTGGACTGTCTTCAGTGAAAACCATGATTCAGGCTTCTATGTTTAAACTGCTCTGACTTGTATGTAAAAGTTAAGAGGAAAATGCTCTCTATCCAGGGCAAAACCAGATGCCAGCTGGGCTGGTTTCCACATGAGACAGGCACCTCTTTCATGGGCACTGGGCTCTTCACTGGCTCTTCCAAGGGGCCAGTGTTTCTTTCACTAAATCAGCAATGACTGATTCACAACTCAGAGTGCCTGTTTCCCACAGAGAGCTTTTCAGGCCAGACAAGGACATCTGGAATGTCCGTGTTCACGGGCAGGGTGATGAAACACTTGTTTGCAAACCCACCATCTTCCCAGATGCTGCTCACAGAACGTAAAATACGACATGGGTTGGGTTGTTTGCAGGTCAAGGCCTCTTTTCAGCTGAAGTTAAACTTCTCTTCCTCACTGACTCTGTTTGTTTCTGCAACTGAGTGGCAATAAGTGCATGCCTGCAGGGGTTTCATCCCCTCTCTGTGAAGTCAGCAAAGCTGGTTGAGAAATTCCCATCTTGTTGACATGCCACAAGCCATCACTGATGGGTACCCATTCACCCATTTGGAACACCAAACTTCTTCAGGGAGCACTTTTTGCCCAGCAGCATGACAGCGATGAAATCTTCATGCTGCTTCTCCTCTGGTTCCATCCTGCCTAGACCTGAAATTAGAAGTCTGGTTTTTCCTGGTCTGCCCACAAAGTTCAAATTGGAACTTTGGGAAGCACCTCTGTGCACCCATTATTGTTCCTGCTTCTCAGACTGGACTGTCTGGGGCTTCTACCCCTCCCTCCTGCCCATGCAGGGCAAGGTGCATTGAGATGTAAAGTGGTCCAAACAATATTTCTGTATCCAGAAGCAAAACAAGCCCAACCTGGGGCAGGAACAGTCCCAGATACAAGAACCCCAGCAGCAGTCAGAGCAGGGGAAAGGGGCTGGGAAAAGGGAGGAGAAAAAAGGGGGAGAAAAGGCTAGGAGAATGAGGATAAAGAAAACTAGGGATAAGGATCCAGGAGCTGGGGCTTTTAAAAAATAAGCCCATGCATGACAAAAGTACACATTTTGCCCATAAAATTGCAAGGCATAAAGATGCTAGCTAAGGAATATTTATAAAGCAGGCATGCTTGCTCCTAGTGAGAAGAGCTTAGATGCTCTCCAGCTCTCAAAAACTCTCAGACTAGCCAAAAATCTGTGGCTGGAGGACAGCCAGCCCATACCCAGGCCGAATGATGACAGCCCGTAATCATTTTTGTCTCACTGCAGACGACTGGTGACAAGCACATACGAGGCTCAGCCTTCTCCTTGTGCAGCCCTCCCATTTGATTTCCTTGAGTGCAGGGACAAATAACAAAAAAATCACTGAATGAGGGAATAATTAACTTTTGGAGGGGCTGCTGGAGGTCAGAAGCCTTGGATCTGGATGTAAATAATTGAGATTATAAATCTTAATAACAAACACCTCCATTTTCAGTGCTTCGTGTGTCTTTTAAGACCTCTGCTTGGCCCAAGCCCTGATTTTTGCCCTGCCATGCTGCTAATTAAATGCAGAGAGACAAACTCCTCAGCCACCACCTGGGCACCTTGGATGGACTGGATACCTGCTTTTGCCCCCCTTAACCACCAGCAAAACCCTCTTTGCCCCTGTGGTGCAGGATCAGGCAAGGGCTGGCTCCTGCCTCCTGGCAAAAGCCACTCAGACACCTCCAGCATTGCCACATGGCTACCAAGGGGCTGTGCAGCCATGGGAAGGGGCTCGCACAGCATCGCTGCTTTCTCTCCCTCTTGAACACGGGCTCCATCCCCAGAAGAAGAAATGGTGGCTGGTGAGGCTCTAATGGGGCCATAGACCAGATGACACAGAGACCCAGCTCAGAGCGCGTCCTGCCCTGCCCTCTAGATGCAGACACGGGAATGCAGCACAGACAGAAGCTGAGGAGGAGCTGGTTTCCCCCCTCCTTTACTTCTCTTCTTGCCTCATCTTCTACCCTCCGAGTGCAGGAGGAGCATCGGTGAGGCAGAAGATGCTCAGACATCTGGCTTTGATCGATGAGGGACAACCACCCCTGCCAAGGCCACAGGGAGGTGAAAAGGAGATGGCTTGCACACGAGAGAGGGCTGTCTGCCTTCCTGCAAACAGGCTCCCGAGCAGGCTGTGTTCATTTGGGGTGAAATAAGGCATGAAATGAAGCCCAGATCCACCAGCCCTGCTTCAAACAGCTGCCAGCAGATACTAAGAGGATCCTGCCAGAGGAGGAGAGTGCTCAAAGCCGTGCTGTAAGCACTCAAGGCTTACTGAGAAGGAGAAATGATAAGAGGAGAAAAGCAGCCTTGGCGGTGCATTAAAAAATGGAGCTGGGTGGAGAACATCCCCATCTGCTCGCCTCTCCCTCCTGAACAAACAACTTAGTTTGCTGAGATTTACTGCACAAAGGCTCTCTCCAGGTTGCCCAGAGCCAGCCCAGCTGGGTGCTCACTCCCACATTCCGTGGCCTTTCCCCTAAAAGCACCGTGGGCTCCCCTCCCCAGCTCTGCTCACCCAGCCCTGCGCTGCCGATCCAGGCACCGAGCAAGGCCAGAGCTGGAGAGACAAGGGGCAGGCACTGGTGTGGGGAGTAAGTAATGGTTCTCAAGGAGGGGCTGTCTCTGCACCTCCTTCAACTGCATCTGTTTTGGGACTAATATGCGCATACTTTTATGCCCAGCCCAGTAAATTATGCAGTGAACCTCAAGGCTATGACTTCAAAATAGGGGGACTGGAAAAAGCACACATACACACACACACAAAAATAAGAACTGCCTGTTCCAAAAGCCATTTCTGGATGCTGCATGGCCCTAAATCACCACAACAGCATCACCAAAAACCAACCTGGCAATAGATTTGGAACCTCAAACCAAATTCAGAGATGTTCCCTTCTGCACAGCCTGTTCTAGGCTGATTCTAATGTTGAGACTGAAGGCTGAGGCTTTAAAACATCCCTTTACAAGTCTTTCTCAGGTGACTGATTTCCTCCTCCATCTCATTAGCGGCTGCCAGCAGATGCTGTTTCCCCAGCAGAAGCCACACTTCACTTGTTACAGTCATCTCCAAACCACCCTGTCATTTCTCCCCTCCTCATGGCCACAGCGAAGCCTGGAGAATATTCATCAGGAGGCAGACACAGCAGCAGCTTTTTATGGTTAAGCTCAGGTCATTAATCTCTATCGAGACTTTTCACAATCTTCCTCAGCTTCATGTTTGTTTAACTGTTGGATAGTTGCTCTGTGGAGCTCTGGGTAATCACAGATTAAGTGCTTTTTAATATTAATAGCTTTTCATTAATGTGCCAGGCTCTCTCCCCTCCAGAGTCCAGGCAATAACTATTAGCACTGAGCCTGCAGCTCCCTGTGGTGAAAAGGACTTTTTTCTTTGGGGCCAAAATTCCACAGCATGAGCCCAGATCTTGTGTTCTGCGGCTGCTTTGTAGCAGAAGGATTTTAGAACAGGAGCAATCCCCAGTGCAGGGAGCTTCCTCCTGCAGATGGCTCAGAGAAGCTGCTCTGGAGTCACCCCAAAGTGCAGCATGCTCAAGGGCATGTAGCAGCGCCACTCCAATGCCCTCATCCTTCTAGGAGAGATCTTTGCTTACATAGCCCCAACACCAAGGCCCCACAAAGCAGGGTGGGGCAGGACATGTGGCCACAAAAAACCTCCCAGATTAAACATGAAACCTGCCCAGAAGTGATGTGAGGCTGCAAGCCAGCCTTTCCCAGGGTGGTGTGATCACAGTGTGAAAGCAAGAGCCTCAGCCCCTCCACCCTGGCAGGGCCTCCAGGTGCCAGAGGTGCAAACCCTGCTGTGCCACTCCTGTAGGACCGTGTGAGGCGAAAGGAGCTGACACTGTGCACCTTCATCCATGTGGTACACAGGGCTGGCCACTGGTGAGTGCCAGAGCCCGAGTCACATCTTAGTGTGCACAAATCATCATGGGCTGAGAATGGGCTAAGTGTGCAGCCACACTGCTTCTCATTTAGCCTGTAGCCAGGACAGAGCACACACTGCAGAGGCACTAAAGAGCTAGTCCAATATCTCCAACACCTTCCTCATCCACTTGTATTCCTTCTCTCAAGCCTCTTACATCCTTCAGTATGTTGGCCTTGTTTAAAAGCCTTCACAGGAAACATGAACACACTTCTTGCCATGTTATTCACCACTAAAGAAACTTCCCACCCATGCCACCAGCACGTTAACCCTCTGCTGTATAAATATCAATGGACTCTGTTTTGCATGAGCCTGAAGCTCTGTGTATTCCCCCCCCCAGCCCAAGAGCAGTTGGGATGAGCCGGCTCAGGCACCCATGACATCCCCTCTAGCACCCTCTGCTCCACATCCAGCCCTCCCCTGGGATACCAAGTTGCCCTGTCCCAGGTGTAACACACAGCGCAAGCCGCACCAGCAGCCAGATCATCTCCTGGCCAGGAGTCTCAGTTCCCTCTTTGCTGACGATGAGCTGGGACCAACATGTCCAGGGCTTGCTGAGCAGAAGCCCCTCACTCCTCCACAAGCCCACCATCCTGCTCCCTGGCTGGAGGAGGAGACCCCCACTATCTGGAGTGCAGGGACAGCTTGAGGTGGGACTTCAGTGCCAGGGCTTTGTCCACCAGCTCTGGGGGCTGCAGGATGTGCCACTGGGCGAGGGGCCGGCGGGGGTTGGACAGCATGTCGGACCAGTGCCGCAGCTGGTTGCCCGTGGCTCGGCAGCCCAGGAGGAGTTTGCCAATGGGCTCATTCTTGGTCACTTTGTCATGATCCCAGACGGAGATGACCACGTCCACATTCTGGTGGGGACACAAGAAAGAGGGTCAGTGGGAAGAGGTTTGCTGCAGTGGGGACCTGTTCAGGGAACTTCAGGGAAACCCACCTGGATCTGACTGAAAGGCACCTCAAAAACAAACACCTCGTTGAAGTAAGGGCTTAAGGTGTTTTTCTTCACACTTGTCCTTTTTTTCTTCCATTTCTTCCTGTTCAGTATGAGATGCACCTTGACAAAAGGATCTGAAGAGAGAGAGGGCAGGCACACCTGGCACAAGTGGCAGTTTTTGACTGAGGAACTCAGCCACTAAACAGCTTTCCTCAGCCATTCCCAAGGAGACCATGGCATCCCACTTGTCACTCCTCATGGTGAGACAGCCACCTCAGAGCTCGCTTCCTCCTGCCAAGCTTGCTTTACAATCCAGCCATGACATCTCCACCTGGGAGACACCTCCAGTAGTGCCCAAAGCTGGAGTATTTGTGCTGGGAGTCAGCCAAGGGCTGAATATGGTGGTCGCAGCAGGAAGCAGGTCTTAATACCTAGAGTTTTCAAGGCTTTGCAGCTCTAGGTGCCACCACTGAGGCCTGGGCAGGAGTGGGAAGGTCTGAGCACAAGCAGCCCCTACTGACCTGAGAGTCCATCGGAGTCCATCCGCCTCAGCTGCCTGGCTTCCAGGATGAGCACCGTCAGCTTGCCGGTGCTGGGGACGTAGCGCAGAGAGAAGCAGATCTCACCCAGATGCTCCTCCTGATGGGGAGATGCCAGTAATTAGTGCCAGGCAGAGGAGCCAACTCACCTGAGACTGGAGCACCAGGCTGGCCCCATGTTTCCTGAGTCTCCCCCACTCTCATGCTTCATGCT